AAGTTTTTGGGACTGTTTATTAGCTAAAACATCACCTGTCTCCTGTTAGTGAGAATACTTAGCATATAGGTTTAGTCTGGCAAAGGAAGAGTATGGTCTACAGTAGTGGTTTTCAAACTTCCTAAAGTCATACAGTACAGTATCACTTCTTCTGTCATGAAAGCCCTACCCCTATCCTGTGAGCTGATGTGGAGCCAGGTGACCTGACCTAGCTAGGGTGGTGGCACACTGCCTCCCAGACTGCTCTGCCATTACATTCCAGTCTTTTAGTGGAAGCCCTAATGACCCATTGTGGAACCCACACAGTTTGAAAACTAATGGTCTACAGCAGTGGTGCCTAACCTTTTTTGCCCTGTGAGCTGGATGGGAGAAGTCTGATCTGTCTGTCAGCTGGATTCAGTGTGCAGCGTGGGCATGGTGGGGCCAGATATGGCATGGGCACAAGGGGCTTGGGAATTTGGAAGTGTGTGGGTGGGTGGCAGGATCCCCCACTACCAAATTTCTTGACCCATGGAGAGCCTTGTGGCCTGGATGCCATGGCCCCATGGGTCAGATTTGGCTGCTGGTCCAGGGATTGAGCACCCCTGATCTAGAGCAAAGATCCAAAATGGGTAATAAAATGTGAGTAAAAGGGCAAAGGACACATTCAGAGCAGTATGAGTTGAGGGTGGTAGTGGTAGTGATGGTGGACCAAACTCTTCTGTTAACGTTTGTTAACATGCCTGTAATGTGCATTTCTCAAGGGCAGGGTGCATGACCTTCAACCCTTGGGTGGTTTTCATTTAAGCAGTTATAGCTGTTCAGATGATAAGACCCAATATAAACATAAACAGCATCAGCTTATCCCTTGTCTTTAAACATATACGGATGATACAGTTTGACAGCAAATTGTAGCACAGGAAAAAATTAACAGCAAGTAAGGAACTCTGTGTTGTAACACACACAAAAATCAATCCTGTATTCAGGTTGATTTAGGGATGTGAAAGGGTAAATGGATTAATCGATTAACTGATAAGCCTAGTGATACCTGGTTAGTTTACTAGTTATTGTTTAGTGCAGGGCAGTGCACAGTTGGGCAGGGAAGTGGGGGGGGAAAGGAAGCTAGATGGTGCCCCAGCAGAAACTGGAAGGCTGCTGGATATGCAGGAGGCGGGAGGGGGGACTAGGGGCAAGGGAGGGACTAGTATGTCTCTTGCCTATGAGGTTAAAGAAGAAAATAGTGGGTAGCCTAATGACTTGTCAGTTAAGCAATTAGCTGCTTGTTCACAGCTGCTCCCTCCCTGGGCTTCTGGTGAGCTGCATTGTCTGGCTGGGCTTGCCCCACCACCACCTCCTTACCCGCCCCCCTCCCCATCAAAGGGTCTTGGGAGTGGCTCTGAGCTGCTGTGTTGTTGGCTAACTATTTAACCAGTGTAATTAGAGTAGGTTAAATGGATACTTTAAAAAAAAGTTTTTACATCCCTTAGGCTGATTATGAAAGTTTCTGACAGGTTCTGGGGCAGCATGCCCTGTGGGAATGCTCAAAAGCTTCCCTTGCCAGCTGTAAGAATAAAAGGAAGGCTTGTCGTCTTGGGAATGCAACAGACCATAGGCTCGAACTTGAGTGCCTGGTAAAATTTCTAGCCTCCATATAGAGGTGAATAAAGGAAGCATAATTTAAAAGTATAAAGTGTAAAGTGAGATGAAGAAGAGGAAAGGGACATTGAAGAGTAGAGAAAAACTGACAGAAGACTGAAATGAAGCAAGGAGGACTGTCTGACATGCTGGATTAGGTTGCATCTGGCCCACCTGTTCCTGTGCAGCCACCACTGCCTGCTGCAGCAGCCAGTGTCTACAGACTCCCCTCCCCCTCCCTCTCCGGTGATTACTTCCTGCCCCTGTCTCCAGGGTTGGGGCTGTGCTTTATGCACAGTAGCTGGTGGGAAGGGACCATGCTGCCCTGCCTGGAAGTTTGCTGAGTACAGCAGGGAACAGTGCGGATCTGGGCTTTGTGGGAAGGTGGGGCAGATGGCTCAGCTCCCCCTACCATATGTAGGCAGTGGGCATTGGAGGTGATGGTGGGGGCGTTGCAGGGCAGCCAGCTTGCTTTGCCTGTGCATTGTGTGCAATGGAGGGGAGGAGGGATAGACTGTCTACTTTGCCTGTGTAGACAAATTAGCCCTGATTAAAAAGTACTGCATGGCAATAAATGACAGATTCACAACTGGTAATTGAAAAGACTTGTCTTTTTTTGTAATAATCAACACACATAACTATTTGGACTAGTAAATGTTGGAGCATAATTCCATCATTTAACTAGCTCAAATAGCAAGTTGCTTTTAAACATTAAAAAAATACTAGTACACACAGCACATAGTAGTCCTTCTACCAGGCTTATCTGGTTATAAGTGGTTTCCCCTGCTTAGTAGGCTTAGTCTTTTGGTTTGGTCTGTAGAGCAAGAGCACTCTGTAACTGAATGTGTACAAGTTTGGGCTGTGCTAAAGACAATCAAGGAAATATTCTATAGTAGGGGTGTTGGACTCAACCCTGGGCAGGATCTGAACTGCAGGGACTCCTTTGGGGCCAGATCTGCAGGCCCAGTAACAACTATGGTAGGCCCAGGGCTGGGCAGCAGTTTGCATCTGTAGGTGTCTAGCAGCGCTGAACAGGGCTGGGCAGCAGCTGTGTCCATGGATGTGCAGCAGCACTGAGCTGTCCCTGGCCATGTCAGTGGCCACTTCTGAACTGCTGACAGGGTGGAAGGAATAATTCTGCAGGCTGAATTTCACCCCTTCCTTAGAAGTTGAGTTGGTTTGTGGATGAATGGATGGATGATTTTCTGTTTGCTTATATTTATTTGAAAGATTTCTCAGTTCCTGTCAACTCACAGGAAGTAGAACTAATTTGAAATGTTTCTGCATACACTCAATCAGTTTGGATATAAGTATAGTAAAATCTCTTATTTGGCATTTAACTAACAAGAATACTTAATTAACCAGAATTTTAGCTGTGGGACACACCTGGCACCATGCCCCTTAGCTGCCGGCTGCACCACTCTTGCGCAGGGTATCTGAGTGCACACCCCTCCCCCCTGCTGCAGCAGCCTATGGCCAGGCTGCCCTGGCATCTGCGGTGGCTGACTATTATGGCATTTTTAACTGTATACTATTTTATTCTTTATACAATATGTTATACTGTAATGTATTGTACATTAATTCTTTGGAAATTTGCACCACAAGTATGGTACCGTCTTCCTTGAGCATAACTCTCAGATAACTGGAATTTTTAGTTAACCTGCACCCCCCATTCCCCACTCATGCTGGATAACAGATTTTACTGTACTTTACTTGATTCTAAGTGCTTTAGTGTAAAAGCATTCCTTCAGTGATGCAGTCTGGGCAGTGTTTAGTAATCCTGTTGGAGTGTTGCTGGAATATAGTCCCTATGGGTATTTGTTACTTACCAGGCAATCTGTCCTAGTTTTGTTGGTGAAGTTATGATCATAGAATCATGGAAAATTAGGGTTGGAAGGGACCTCACGAGGTCATCTAATCCAGAGGTGGGCAATTATTTTGGGCAGAGGGCTGCTTACTGAGTTTCGGCAGGCCATCAAGGGCCACATGACAGGCAGCCCAGGGCAGATTAATATTAATTTTCTAAATTTTTTAGGGGCCCCGCGGGCCAGATAGAATGGCCTGGCGGGCCACATCCAGCCCCCAGGCCGCATTTTGCCCACCGCTGGTCTAATCCAACCCCTTGCTCAAAGCAGGACCATCTCCAACTATATGATAGCAGGTCTTCTAGAGCAGTGGTTCTCAACCTTTTTTATATCGGGACCCCTTTGTAAACATCTATGGCCAGTCTTGACCCTGTGGCCCTTGCTTCCAGCCTGCTGGTCTCTGCCCCCCAGTGTGTGGGGCAGTGGGTGGATCTGTGTGTGGCCCAGGGGGCCCCAAACAGCCCCTTGCAGGCTAGAATGCTGCCAGCCTGCAAGGGAAAAGCTACAGTTTCCCATGTTTTTCTCCTTTAAAGGTGAATCCATTTTTAAAGTTTATTGATCCAGTTTTTAGTTCGTTCACAAGCCCTTCATATATTTTTGTGATACTTTTGGGTTGTGACCCACAGGTTGAGAAATGCTGTTCTAGTGGCTTTAATGATTAAGTTAGAGTGCATCTAAGATGGCGCACAGATTTGTAGATGGTAGGATTTGTTCTGTTGAAAAGCATTGGAGAGTGGTGAAGCACTGGAACAGGTTATGCCGAGAGGTGGTGGAATCTCCATCCTTGGAGGTTTTTAAGGCTTGGCTTGATTAAGCCCTGGCTGGAATGATCTAGTTGGGGATGGTCCTGCTTTGAGCAGAGGGTTGGACTACATGACTTCCTGAGGTCTCTTCCAGGCCTAATTTTCTATGATTTTTCTACCCTTCTTCATTCACAGCCTGTCTTACCTAGTGTTTAAAGCAAATGCTGTAGGCCAGGGGTGTTCAGCCCCCAGCTTGTAGGCCAGATCTGGCCTGCAGAGCCATGGCATCTGGCCCACCGGGCTTTGCATGGGTTGAAAACTTTGGCAGCTCCCCCACTGCCAAATTGTCAAGTCCAGGCTGGCCAATTGGGCAGGGCCTGCCCTGGCCTGTTGCCACATTGCAAAATTGCTGGGCCGCCCCCTATTGTTGGATGGGGCCTAGCTGGGCCCCCACTGCACGCATCTGGCATGCTGGATCCAACCCACTGGCAAAATCTGGCCCATGGATGGGCTTGGCACCACCCATCCATTCTGTGGGGCGGAAAGGTTGGGCACCACTGATCTAGGCAAATAGGTCACTAAGTAGAATGTCTGTTTTCTTCTTTAAAATGTATCTTTGCCTTTGTCTAAATCTGATTCCTCTATTTAATGCAGGTTTGGGGAGTAAATGTAATGTGATATTGGATTATAACTTGATTAAGCAGAAAAAGTTTGTTGTACTATTGCTTCAGGAGGAGGCTGGGAGGAAAGCTCTTTGGCAGTCTGACATATGTGACATCATGCTCAAAATGTGATTGAAATTCTTTCAGTTTCTGTTTGCTGTAGTTAACATGCTGTTTGGAGTATGAAGTTATTTTCCTTTAACAAGGACCATTTGTATGTTCTAGGTGAAGGCGCTGAAAGAGAAAATTGAATTGGAGAAGGGGAAAGATGCTTTTCCAGTGGCTGGTCAAAAACTAATTTATGCAGGTAATACACCTCAAATAGATAATGCATGTAGAACAGAAAATAACTGTTTTATCAATTATTATTTTACTCTGAGTGTTGAAGCTTTTGATACGTCTGTGATTTGAACAAAAAACTAAACAGGCTATTGTAATAGCAGAGGATCAGCTCTCAGTAGTATTTTTCCAAGTTGCAATCTTAAAAAGAAAAAAAAATGAAAAAAGTTAGCTTTGTTTTATGTTCACTGATCTGCCATGAGACTCATACGTGGCTAGCACATATCAAGTTGAAGTAGGACTTGTTCTTCTGTTTGTTGTCATATAATGCCTTACTAGATGGATCAAATCATGCCTTTTGTTGTAGTGGTTGTTGACTCTTGTCCTTTATTCCATTTGTCCTATATTCTTATAGTGTCTCTTTCCTTTTAACTCTACTAGAGTATTAAAAGTAAGCTGGTCTGATACATTATTTAGTCTTCAGTCAGTGGCAAAACAGCCTGTTAAACAAAAGGACCTGTAACACCTTTAAGCTCTGATACGTTACAGAGTCAGGTAGAAACATAGAGTGTGTATCAATGAAAAGCTGCCTGTGGCCAGTTAGATATTGGGGCTTTAATTATATTCTTGGTACAAGAATGACTTGGAGTTTGACAATCCAATCTGAACACCTGCCTGATTGGTCTCTTTTGGCCTTAATACATGAATCCACTGCTTCATGTTTGAGTTTAGCCAAAATTAGTCCTACAAGGTTGTTTTTTTTTTCCCCCTAAAAAGGCTCCTCATGTTTGAAAGCAGCTCTTTTTATCTCTCCTACCATTCCTTAATTCTGCTACTCCTTAAGTTGCATCTTTCCTGTAGTTTTAAGAGACTGAAGATACCTTCTCAAGTCTGGAGTCTCCCTTTTCACATGGAAAGCTCTAAGTTCATTTCTTCTTAACCAAAGGCCTGTAAAGAAGCTCCTTTTAAAATGGGGTTACGGTTGGTGCCTGCCAATACGACAAGGACGAAAAAACAAGCGCGCTTAATTTCAAAACACCACAGAAAACTCAGATTGAACTTGGAAATCAGCATTCAGTTTTTAAGTGTTTCATGGATGTACTTTTAATTTGTATGAAATCTCAGACCCTCTGTTTAAAATAAAAATTATGGCATAAGGGAAGAAGAATTTAACTCAACTTTACATATCTTCTTTCTTGCTTCTACTTAAAGCATTAGTGTGCACTCAATCTAACCTGAAGTAGCAGGGGTGGGGAATAGGAAGCAAAAGTTGGACTAAAAGTCTGGACTAAGCAGTCATGACTCATACTTCCATAGACTTAGTGTATACTGTTTCTGTTTAAAAAAAATAATGCAGCTTTTTTCTAATATTTTAGGAAAGCATTGCAGGAGCCTGTTGGAATTGTTCTCAAGCAGATTTTATATTTTGTTTACAGTGAGCCGTGGCTTTGGCTTTCTGATTCTCTGCCTTTAAGAGAACCATATTCTGGTAAAATGTGCTGTTTGCTTTAAATCGGAGGTGTCAGATATTCAATTTGTGGATCCCTGTCATCCCACCCAGTCCTGCTTGTAGGTCTCTGACTGGTATGCCACCTGCAGTATGCACTAGCCTCAGAACTGTGTGCTGCCTGTGGCACATGGAGCCTATCTGGAGCAGGCTACATGTGGTGTGGGGCTGTCTGGGGTCTGCATTGCATGTGATGCCTGTGCCAGACTGGCTTGGTGCTCTGGATCCGGGCTGATAGACAAGCCTTATGTACCAGACCTAGTGGGCAGAGCTACACTGTCATGGGTGCCATGTGCCATGCAGGGCCAGGGCCAGTCTGTTCTGCATCTGGCTCACAAAGTAGGATATGGCATGCACTCTGCAGGCAACACACAGCTGGTCCAGGGCATGTGCTTCTTGAGACTCCTGCACTGGACCAGGCCTGTGGGCTGGATCTAGCACATGGGGTCAGTCAGTGGGCCCCATCTGGCCCACGGGTAGGCCACATGCCCTTCATGCAGCCTGTGGGACTGGATTAAGTTGACACCCCTGTTTAATTCAGTAGTTTTCAGTCTTTCTAGGCTTGAGACATTCCTTGGAAAATGCCAGTTTTTAGTTTTCACTCTCTCTTGTTCATTTGTTTTTTCAACTGCAGAAAAATAATAGGGCAATTCTTCTGTTGCAAAGAATTTAGAAAGGCCACAGCAGGTCAGAACAATTTTGATGCTGTGGATTCTGATTTGAAATTTCTGCATTTATCTTGTGAATCAAATGCAGATGCTTCCACCTGGTTGAATATCACTGTTTTAAATTGAGGATTAATTGAGGAAGTGAGGATTATCTGTAGACACATATTTGTATTAGGTAGTACCTAGACAGCTACGTTGTATGTGGTGGAGGATGGGTCTTGTTCATATGCATGGTAGGAGTCATTTCCTTGGTTAGTTTACAAATTAAATTGTGGATCCTCTGTGGTTAAATAGACTAGTGCAACTCTGAGGAGTTGGGTGTTACATCTTGGCTCTACCTGTGTTTATTCATTTTTGAACAAACCATTTAGGGTTTAAGGCTAGGTACAGACATTCAAGAAGCCTGAGTCAGAAGTGCTTTAAGTGTACCACTTTAGTTGGTGCAAAACTAAACACACATGCCGTTCAATGTATAGGAGAAAGGGGGCTTGGAGCCTGCCTGCACAGGCTGTGACCAGCAGCCTGGGGGCACTCCTGCATGCCTCTCGGGAGTGGCCAGCAGGACCATCTCCCCAGCCCTGCCCCCCCGGAGCATCTCTGCCCTGTGGACGCAGCCTGGCCCCCAGCTGAGACCCATGCCTGAAAGCTTGGGGGAAATCTGCATGGCAGAGTGGCATGGCAGAGCGGCATGGCAGAGCCTGTGTGGCTGCTGGAAGAGAGACCCTGGACTCCTTCCCCTGCAGCTCTCATGGCTGGGAAGTGGTACTTCTCTGGGCTGGGGCAGCTGCAGGGGCAGGAGCCCTCCCAGCCCCTGCCAGGTAGCATGCGGGGCTGCGATCAGAGGTTGTCAGGAATGCTACTGGAGATTAGAGCGCAGCCTTGTGCAAAACCACATGGGATGTTAGTGATTGCACTCTAAATTAATCCTCAGTGGGATCTGGCACAGACATTCAATAAAATATTTTAACAGAAAGTGCTTTAATCTGATACCTCATCCATCGAGGGTTAAGTTAGAGCATGATCTGGTATTTTTAAGGTGCTTTAAGAGCCGTAAATGTCTGTTCAGTTAGGGCTGTAGAGCTCTTTCTACCTGTTTAAAGAGCGATAGGTACAACGTCTGTACCTAGCCTAAGTCTCGTAGCGAGGCTGTGATGGAAAGATGGACTGTTCTGTTTCATTCATGTTTACCCACACCTGTCAGCTGTAGTTTATTGGTACACTATTTTGAATCCCATTCATGAAGGGAGTCAGTTTTGAAAGTCTGTCTCTTGCGTGTGTATGGACATACATGCACAATGTTTATCATTGAATAAGAGGAGTACAGGCAATCTGTGTATAGTATTCTGTAGTAGATAAGCTCACTGTCACACTACCTATCTGGAAACCTACTTGCCTCTATCCTCGTCTCATTTGCTTCTTGAAGACCTTTAGTGTTGCTGTAAAAACAGATTGTTGGATGATGTAAATATTTTGTAAGTTACACAGGTTTTAAAACTGTTGTATAAAAGAGCCAAGTACATTTTTGACTTGGCACTATCTCTTGCTTCATGCCAACACACTGCCCAACAATGGGTGTTTAAATTTGCAATGCAAACTAGAAAGGCAGCCATGTTTTGGGGGGAAGGGGAGGGAGGCATCATTTTTGTGGTGTGCTCTATCTTAGTGCTTCTGTGAAGATCAGAATGAAGAATTGAAGCCTGAGTTCCATGCAAGGCTAACCTTTTTGGACTTCTCTATGTAAATTGGTAACATTGCAGTTTTGCAAACTTGCCCTGACATAGGGGCAATTATGCTGATGGCAGAAATTCCAGATGGGTTCCTAACTCTGAAGGGCTGACGGGAGGGCAAGAGGGATATGAAGCATGGATGGTACTGAATTTTTTTTTTTGGTACCTTGGGCACTTTAGACAAACCTTTAGCATTCCAGAATTAATCTAGAATAAGATTTTATTATTAGATATGACAATTCTGGAGAGTGTTTAGCATTGGTATGATGAAGTGAACATCAGCTTATGAAAACTTGTTTTATATATCTGTATATCTATATCTGTATATCTACTTTGGTTAGGCTATGAAGTGCAAATCTACCCTGTGTTCTATTTGACGTCAGACTAGTATGCTTAATTGCATCTCAGTGGCATGATGCCAGATATTGTCAGAATAGACTGGGGTACTCAACCTCCAGTCCCTAAGCCAGATGTAGCCTACAGATCCATGGCATCCAGTCCGTGGGGCTCCCTACAGCTCAAGAAATTTTGTGGCGGGGGAGCAGTGACCGTTAATACTAAGCAAATGTGGGCAAAATGGCAGATCTGGCTGGCGGCCGGACTGCGTTTCCCAACAGCCCCTGCCTGCATTGCTGTAGCCAGTTTCCATGGAGGCTTCAACAGTGGCAGAACCATGACGGCATGAGGCCAGGGTTTCCAGGGCAGGGTTTGTAGGCAGTGGATCACGGCTCCGCCTCAGCTCTGGATCACACTGTCACCACCACAAGATCCTGGGCCCGGAGCAGCTCCCTGTCCAACTGCATGCTCTGCCAGCATGGCTGGGACTGCTCTCCATGGAAATGCTGGGCCACATGGTGTTGTGGCCCCACTGTTCCTGGGGTCTCCATAGAAACTGTCTGCAGCAATGCAGGCAGGGGCTGCTGGGAAATGGAGTCTGCTGCTGGGTTAATCTGGCCCATGGGCCAGAGTTTGCCCAACCCTGATTAATACCACCCCTGCCCCCTGCTTCAAATTCCTACACCCCGTGTCTCTATTATGTCTACACAGACAGATTGGGGCTGGACCAGGGCCCCTTTTTCCCCATGTGGCTGAATGAGGCTGGAGTCATATGCCCTTCTCACCCCCCTGTGTGGCAGAGTTGGGGCAGGGCCATACTCTTTCCCCACATGGCTGAATTGGGGCCAAGCTTCTCCTGCGCCCCTCTGTGTGGCTGCATGAGACCCCACCACACTCAATCTGGGTGCCAGATTTGGGCCACTGGCCGGATCTGACCCACAGAGGAACCAGGGACCCCTGGGGAAAAAGGTTGAGCACCATTGCAATTGATGGAACGAGCTTCAGAAAGCTTGTGCCATGGAAGATCCAGTAGGCAAGTTATTTGGGAGCTCTGCCCCAAGTTTAATGTGAAACGTTCTTTGACTTGTGAATTTTGTCTGTATGACGCTAGATTTGAGGCATTTGGAAATCTGAGATCAAGTACATGTTAAATGATTTGTCATTAACTTCCGTCTCTAATTTGCTAGGAAAAATCCTTAATGATGATACTGCTCTTAAAGAATACAAAATTGATGAGAAGAACTTTGTAGTGGTTATGGTGACAAAGGTAAGATGTGCTTGTCTCTCTCAAAACTATATACTTGTGTAAAATCTTTATCATGATTTTCAGCCTTGTATGTGTAAGCATACCCTGAATCACTAAAAGTTTATTACCTGAAGGTTGTGGCTAGCCATGAAAAGCATTCACTCGAAGTCTTGTATTTAGCTACCACCTGTGCTTGTGCTATGCAGCACATAGCTGAGATGGTGAACATTTGTGCAAGAGTACCAAAAAACCCAGCTACATTTGGACTTACGGGTGATAAGTGGAATCTGTTTTGCTGTCTACTCTTTCTTATGACCTTCTCATGTTCTATTCTGCCTACAACTCTCTTCCTTTATGATTTTATTCAGTAAAGAAGGAAGAACCTGGAATCTCAGTGGTTCTATAATGATTTGCATGGCATAGGATTTCCCAGAGCGTCTACTACCTTTCAGAGCTCATGTCTCTGTAGTGCTAGTTTCAACGGTTTAGGCTGGGAAAGGAAAAAAAATGTGCAGAGCAGCAGACCTGCAAGCTTTTAATTTGCCACAGCTGTCATTTAGAGGGTGTTCTTGTGACAGATCCTGGCTGTTCACCAGTTTGCCACCCAAGTGTACTTAACCTTTGGAATTTGAATAGAAACAGTGGTTGAAATCATATTTAGGCTTCTCATCTGTGGTGTGAGCCCTCTGTTTAGAGCCTCCTGGGAGCTGGAGTGTGTGGTCCAGCTGCCTGGTCCCAGGGACCTGCACCAACTCCTTAAGCTTCCTACATATTTTGAGCCCCTCCTTTCCCAGAGTCGTGCTGGGAGTGCGGAGCATTCTTGTTTACAGTTTAACTCTTCCAGGGACATGAATCTAAAGAAACGGCTACAAATACCTTTATGCAAGAGCATTTTATCTGTTACGTAATGACATGAACTAGAAATGAATATTAAGAAAATTGTATGAGTTAGGGGTGATGAGGTACGGTTGTCCATCTCTGTTTAGGAAGACTTGATTCTTCCTGTATCCATAAGCATCCTATGTGGTAAAGAAGCTTAGCTCTTTTTTTAGGATGAGTTCTGTCCTTTGCGGTGATCCAGATTTACGCTGTTACAGTTAGTGGTTTGCCTTCTTCAACATAGAGTCTTTCAGCTTAATTTGCCCTTCCCCAACTTCTGTCTTCTTGCTTAAAACAAGCTGTTGCACTGCTACAAAAGAGCATATCCAAGCATCTCCCTTATTGACAACAGCTCCTGTGCCTCTGAAGGCTTCTATGTAAGTCCTTTTCAAAAGCTGCTTTTGTCATCTGTTTTCCAGCAACAAGAAATTTTTCATTGACTCCACTTTCCCTTCTGATGAAATAGAATTATAGAAAATTAGGGTTGGAAGGGACCATCAGGAGGTCATCTAGTCCAACCCCTGCTCAGACAAAACAGGACTGTCCCAAACTGTATCAGCCCAGCCAAGGCTTTGTCTAGCCAGGTCTTAAAGATCTCCAAGGATGGAGAGATTTCACAACCTCTCTAGGTAACCTTTTCCAATGCTTTACTACTCTCCTAGTGAGAGAGTTTTTCCTAATATCTAACCTAAACTTCCCTTGCTGCAACTTGAAACCATTGCTCCTTGTTCTGTCATCTGCCATCACTGAGAACAGTCTAGCTCCAATCCTATTTGTAACTGCCCTTCAGGTAGTTGAAAGCTGCTATTAAATCCCCCTCAGTCTTAGAGGCAGTACCTTCTTGTATTTGAGTAAATCAGTTTTCTTGCAGTGATTCATCTTGAATAAGCGGTTGTTGAGTTCTGATGACCTGGTGTTGTCCCTGTTCTGGCAGGAATATGACTCAACCCTGCTAGCCTGTGGCAAGTAGATGTGGACACAGGCATTCAGCAATGTAACTTGCATAGTGTAGATCCCATAATATCAACCAGGCCAAAGGCAGGGCAAGGTGGCACCTTAAAGACTAACTGATTCAGAGAGGCATGAGCTTTTGCCTACTTTGTCAGATTCCATGAGTGGACTTGCAGAAAGAAAGGGTATAAAATAGGAAATAGGAATTTAAATATGATGGAAAAAGATAAGGGAGGGGCATGGCGGAGAGGCAGAAGGTAGGTTGACATGGTCAGTACAAATAAAGAAGGCAGTTAACGCACTGAGGGGCATGGGAATAAGTAGCTGGAGTTAAAAGCTAGTCTAGGTAATGTTTAACACAATCTAGCCTCTGTATGATTTCTTATTCCAGTTTCAGGAGCTGGTGACTTTATGCAAGGATTTTCCTGTCTGGCCAACGTAGGCAGCAGAAAGCCATTGTAAGCAGTGGATTGTCTACATGACATTGGTAAAGCAATAAATGAATGAACTCCAGATGTTATGCTGTGAGTAGCTTGGTGGTCTGTGTTGACTGAGGGTCACAGCTGGCATCTGGAGCTGTAGCAGGAGCTGGAGCTTGGGAAGAACAGGATTTAGATAGTGTGCTAGAGCGATAAGCCTGGACTTGCTTTTTCCCCCCAAGACTGCCTTGAGATGGTCTTCATTATCCAGGAGGAGCTGGAGTCGTTAATGATATGCCCACTTCATGCTGGGTACTCTAGGTGATGATGACTTGAGGGAATCTGTTGCTCTTTTCATAAGGTTTTTGTTGTAAGAAGTTGCAGCATGGCTGTACTGATTTGAGTTGCTGTGGTTTTGGGATTGTATTGTAAATGTAAGAAGCCCTGCTCCAGATTCTGATGTTGTGAATCCTGGTTGGTGGCATCAGAGCAAATACTGTTGTAACATAAGCTTGCTGATGGGTCTGGTGGTGTCCTTGGGAGGAAAGTTGGTGATGTGTGCTGCCCCGGGTATCCTGGTGTCCCACAGCAAGGTCGTAAATTGACCACCTTCCACTTACTGCCTTTGACTTCGAGATGAAGTTGAATGGACAGCAAGCCTCATGTTCATGAATGTCAGCTTCTCTTTGCCTGTTTGCATGTTTCTGCCCAGCACAGGGCGTGGAGGACAACGGAAATGGTCATATCTAGTCCAACCCCTGCTGAAAGCAGGACCAGCCCCAACTACATCATCCTAG